GGTTTTCAGTATCATTGTCACTGGAAACAGGATAAAGAGGGGCTCTTAACTTTCTCACCTTCCTGAACACCATGGCCACAGTGACTTGAATTGTGGGCTTGGTTCTTGGTTGTGCAGACATCTCTCCCACAGTCCGGGACCGTGTGGGTCAACGGCAGCAAGCTGGTGGATTACACCCTGGGCAAGTGAATCCCAGTGCCCAGGAGCATCCCCTTGCATGTCAGTGACCACGCTCCCAACCCTCAGCTGAGCACCTTGGAGCCTTCACAGCCCATGGCTGGGAAAGGATTGTGAATCCTGATGTTATGCTAGATCACAGCATTCAATAAGAAATAAATACCCATGAAACACACGGGAAGAGTTATTGCTTCAGAATGTCTAAAAGGAGACATTGAAGTAACAGGGAACTTCACTTCCCACCTTTTGAGAGGATAATACAAACCAGCAGAGCAGAAAGAAATCCAAAACATCATTTATCAAACTAGCAACAGAATTTTCTCTAAAGGAGATTTCACAACAAGGATGCTTTTGGCATAGGTGGATCCAGGGCAAAACAATGATGCAATGGAAAGGATACACGACAGTTTCTTTGTGCAAAGTGCTGAAAAGCTTTCAGAAGCTTTATAAAATTAGAGCTGCTTATGTTTAACAGCTAAAATGAAAAGGTGGGGAGGGAGTTTTTCCCCTGTGCAGTTCTCTAGTAGCAGAGCTCATGATTGTACTCAGCGGGAAACATGCTACTCATCGAGCACTCTCAGCACCTCCCCTCCTGCTGAGCCAAAGGCACAGGGGAAGCTCAGCAATTTGCAGAACTGGGTCCTTGCTTTTGTTCCTCTCACCTCTCTCCCTCCCCACGTACTCTCCATCCTCCCTTTGACACAAACAGATGGAAAGAATGACGCTAACATGCCAATTAGGTTATTTGAAGCCTTGCTAGTAGCTACTCTAAATGCAGGCACATGAAGCAGCAGGATTCTGCTGGTGACATTTGGACCACAAATGAAGTCCCCTAGAGTAATAAACAATCAGGTAAAGAAATCTGTAAAGAAATTACCCAGCACACCTCGTCTTCTTGGCCCCCATGAGATCCATATAAAATGTGTTAATGCATCTGATTATGATCTAAATTATGTACAGAGGCTCCTGCCAAGCACTCTGTGAAGTTTCTTTATTGTTAAGTTGGAAGCTGTTTAAGAATGGTCCAGTCATCATGTTTCAAATTAGATTTGGGGGAAAGACATTTTCCTACTTTATTGCTGGCTCAGAACATGGGTTTGTGGGAGAAGGTCGATACGTGTTTTTTCTCTTGCTGGAAAAAGAGCAGGCTAAGTGGTGACAGAAGAAGAGCCACTCTATTATCTTGTATTGCAACCTGACCTACACGGATTTACTGTACGCTGACGTGCCACAAAACAGCTGTAGCTTCAGCTGGCTTTCTAGAGGTGGGGTTTTTTTTCCTCAAAAGAAGGGCATAAACCCCAAGGTGTTCCCATGCACACACTCCACAGATCATAAGACTTTGAAATAAAGGGTTTCTGAAAATGAAGTTTGATGAGAATGGCTTGCAGAACAGCACATGAGACTTGCACCATGCCTGTAAGGGCTGCCTGAGCTGTTGCTTACCCTGCCAGCAAATCATTGTGTGGCTTGGAGGCAGGTAAGGAAGCTGGTTATCTCCTTGGTATGCTATGGTAACACTGGAGCTCAAAAAAAATATATATAGATACACATCTCCCAGGTATATATTCAATACATATAAGTTTGGGAGGGCATCTACAGTTTTAGACCTGAGGCCTGACAACATCACTTGCAGTTAAAACTCCAACTTAACCTGTTTCATTTTCTGCTGCTGTCTAAGTCTTCACCACCTTGATCAGCATCTCCTCTCCACTGCATTGCTGGTTTCCCAAGTCAGAAGCAGAGCTGAGGTCACCTTGCTCAGAAGAGCTCTTTTTTTAAAAGAAGAGTTCTCATTTATTAAGTCCTTCATCTATTATCTCTGCCCTTCCAAACACATAGCTGTAGCAGCAACTGTGTTAATTCAGACCAAGCAGGGCCCTATGGATGAGAGTTAATGTATAGTAGTGCTTACATACTAATTTTCATCTATACATGCATAGAAAACATACACACATATATATATATATATGTGCCCCAGACAGCTGTCTGCACTTTGCCTCAAGGTCCTCAGCTCATCTTCGGTATAGAGCTCAATTTCATATTCATCACTCTAGCACCCGGCATAACAGGCATTTTAAGGAATCAACCACACCCAACCCTCTGGTATGTCAAGATGGTCACTTGATACGCACAAGAGCAATATCGTTCCACAGGGTGACATGAGAAGTTAAGCATCAGAAATCCTTTTTTTTTGTTCGTGGAGTGTATGCTAGAGCCTGTATTCAGCTGTAGCAGCTTTGCTTCTACCTTTGAACACCTCAAGCTGGGCTGCAAGGAAAACTAAATGCAGATACTGAGGCAGATGTGAAGCCTAAATGTTGAACTGCAACGCCCTTGGGCTATCTTAGCACTCATTCCTGAAATGAAAGGCTGAGAAGTGGGCTTGCTCAGCCTGGAGAATGGAAGGCTCCACTGAGACCTCAGAGCAGCTTCCAGTGCCTAGAGGGGACAATAAGAAGCTGGAGAGGGACTTTTGACAGGGGTAAGACAAGGGGAAATGGCTTTAAATTCACAGAGGGGTAATTTGGATGAGATCTTAGGCAGAAGTTCTTCCCTGTGAGGGTGCTGAGGCCCTGGCACAGGTTGCCCAGAGAAGCTGTGGCTGCCCCATCCCTGGCAGTGTTCAAGGCCAGGCTGGACAGGGCTTGAAGCAACCTGGTCTAGTGGAAGGTGTCCCTGCCTCTCGCAGGGGGTTGGAATTGGATGAGCTTTAAGGTCCCTTCCAGCCCAAACCATTCTTTGATTCTACTAAAACATCAGCTTGGCAACAAGGCAATTATGGCAGTGACCAACACTCCTGCCCATGGTGAAATGCAGCACAGACATAAAGAGCAAACTCTGGAGTTAGCACACGTAAAACTCGGCCTGAGTGAGACCTTGTTATCAGCAGATCTGCAGGAAACTGGGGATCAGAACTACCACTTCTAGCCACTGCGGTAATGTAGTGGTTTAAACACCCAAAAAAATGCTTTAATGTAGGATCACAGACTGGATCTCAGCCAGGCAACAGCACTGCTTTAAAAGGAAGTATTTATCTCCACAAAACACTTACTAAACAACATGCTAGGTGCTTGAAAACAAAGCCTTAGCTAGACAACCAGTTTTTAACCTGAAATTCTGCACATTGGCATTCTTCTCTGCTACAGGTAAAACAGATTCACACCCACAGCATGCTCATTTTCTCTTTTTCTCTCTTTTTAAGAATAAAAAAGGAATTTTCTCTTTCAATTTAACTTTGAGGCAAGAAGGAAGACCACAGCCTGGCCTCAAAGACATGAGATCTTTTGAACTCAAAGTCAGCAAGCTCTCACAGGAGCTGAGCTCAAGGGCTGCTCTGGAATGAATCAAAAAGGATTTACACTTTCACTTGAATTAAGGAGGGGAAAAACCCAACCCCCAACCTAAATGTACAGATATGTGGTTGGGGGTGGGAGAAAGATAACTGGTAAATAAAAATAAATACAACTTAAAAGAGGGCCATTATGGTTTTATTGCCACGATTCCATAAACGAAACACCATCCTGCATGGTTGGATTTCCTGCAGGAAATCACCAGTACAGTTGCTAAGTCTGCTGGAAGCAGTTCGACCCAAGTGTATACGGAGCAGATGCTCCAAACATGACACACAAGGACACAGCGCTCCTGGAGAAATCTTTGACACCAAGTCAAAACAGAGACTTGAACTGGTCATGTCACTACAGAGACAGCTGTGATTGTCTCACAGATCAGTAGAGTTTGAGGCCAAAGGGGACCTTTAGAGCACCTGGTCTGCTTCTTGCTGCATCACAGGCCATTACATTTCAAGTTTTCCTATGAGCAGGAGTTAGATCTAGCAGCCAAATCCCAACCTGAACAATTGCTGTGGCTCACAGTAACAATCTACATGCTGCTTCTACTCAAAAACCTGAGCTGCTAGAGTAGCTCCGCGTAGGATGCGACTGCCTCTTGAGCCCATGGTTCCCTCTGCAAGAAAATGCTGCTCCCTGGCAGAGGCAAAAATGACTTCATGCTTCAGTCACTTCACACCTGACACCTTTGCTCAAGCCTGAATTCATCAGGAGTCTTGACAACACTCTGGAGTTTGCCTGATGGAGCTCAGCACAGAACACAAAATCACATCCTCTGGCTTCATTACAGGAGAGAGAGGGAAACTGGAGGAGCAATGTGCTGCTGGCAGCAATCTCAGCCTCTGCAGTGAGATTGCCTGTGGTTCCCAATCTGCCACACACCCCCACAATAGCTGCACATCAGCACCCATGGACTAATCCTTACATGGTGAACATACCTTGGTTACAAAGCATTTTAAAATGAGAGTCTGCCCAATTAAGGACACTAAAGAATGAAAATTTAAAGATCACACCTACTGTTTCAGAGCCCAACTCCCCCTCTGAGCTGTGTGCAGGGCTTGAATCATGAGGCACCCAGACACTGAGATGGTGAGCTCAGACCATTAGTGACATTTACCACTGCTTTTAAAATCAGAGCTTAAACTGCTGAAATTAGAATATTGTGAAATGCCACCTCTTTGCCTGCAGTTCTGCCAACTGGATTTGGCTAAAACTAAAATAGAAGAGTTGACAGCTAAAAAAATACGTAAAGATCTTGATTAAGACTCCATGAGGGACACTGTACTGGCACTGCCCAATTTTTGTAAGCTTTCCCCATCTCATCATTACTTAAACTTGACTATAGAGAGGAGAAAGAGAGTTGCTAGAAGAGTAGAGAGGTGTTTTGGTAGACTGCGTTAAGATACAAGGGAAGATGCAATCTAATGCCAGGCATGGGGCAGAGGGAGACAGCAGGGCTTGTTTGTGCTTTACCTTCTGCTCCTTGGCTCAGACCTGCTCACACATGGACTCCTTCACTATTTTTCTTTCTCAGTGTTGATCTCAAGGATTCTTCTCCTGTGTAATATAAAAACACAAACAAAACCACATGTACTTAAAAAACATATTACCCATCGCCTAGAGGCATCATGCGAGAGAGGCTGCCTATTAGCACACTGGATAAAAACACTCCTTCCAGACCAACTCCAAACAGATGAGAGACTCAACAACATAGAATACCTTGGGTTGGAAGGAAACTTAAAGCTCACAAAGTTCCAACCCTCAGGCACAGGCAGGGACACCTTCCACTAGACCAGGTTGCTCCAAGCCCCATCCAACCTGGCCTTGAACACTGCCAGGGATGGGGCAGCCACAGCTTCTCTGGGCACCCTGTGCCAGGGCCTCACCACCCTCACAGGAAGCATGTCTTCCCAAGATTCATCTCAATCTCCCCTCTGTCAGGTTAAAGCCATTCCCCCTCGTCCTGTCCCCACAGGCCCTTGTCAAAAGCCCCTCTTCAGCTCTCTTGTCAGTCCCTTTAGGCACTGGAAGCTGCTCTAAGGTCTCTGTGGAGCCTTCTCTTCTCCAGGCTGAAAGAGCCCAGCTCTCTCATCCTGTCTCCATAGCAGAGACGCTCCAGCTCTCTAAGCATCATGCTCCAGACCTCTAATCAACCATTATAAGTCCAACATAATTTGCCTTAATCTCCCAAAGGCTTGACAATCTGGGCTGCTGGGGAGTACTGGAGCTGAAGGACACAAGCTGAGCAGACAGACATAGGCCCAGGGCAAAGGATACCTCCTTGGCTACTATGACACCTAGAGCAGTAAGGCACATCTTCAGCATGGCAGAGGAGTGCAGGGCGTCCATAATAAAAAGCAAACTAACCAAAATCCTCCAAAGTTTTAATGACCTGAGCCCCTTCCACTGCAGGAACATCAGGATAATGAACTCTCAACCTTCCCCACTTGAATTCAACACTTTGTAAGGGCAGTCTGCACACTTACAGGGACAGCCAGGTCCAGAGGGACATGAAAAATGCTCTTTGTTGTCAGCCCTGCTGCTAACTTGCTCAGCTACCTTCACTCCACCAAACTCCTGGCCCATTACCTGAAACCAGCAAGAAGGATACATTGCTTTGTACAACCCAGTACAATCCACAGCAGCAGAACTGCAGTGGGAAATGATCAGCATGCTTTACAGACACTGCTGCTGTAGACACCCCTCTAAATGAGCAGCCTGGAGAAGAGATGTTTCAAATCCTTTGTAGCTAAATGGAATGAGATACGGGTTGCCAGCTTCGCAGCTCAAAGCCAGGTTGCAGGCGATCTCAGCTCCCGTCACAGACAATATTCCCACTATAACACCTGGCCACTAACAGCTCTCCAGTCGCATACATCTGACCATTTCCCACAAAAAAGGAAAATAAAACAATCCACTACATTGTTCCACAAGTGCCAAGATTGAAGAGGACCATTCAGCCGTTCAGTCTGACCTGTTGCATGACACTCCACACACCAGCTCCAGCCTCAAGCCCAGTAACTCACCATGATTTTTCATCCAGCTTTTTCCCTTGCTCAAATCCTCTTTCAGACACGCTTCTGCTGCAAACAACTGTCTGATCTCAGCAACAAAACATACAGAAAAGTGAAACAAACTAAAATACTTTTTAACTGAAGTCCAAGGCTTTGGGACTATCATTCAGCGGGTGATGCCTTTGCTGCAGGTAGCATTTTCTTTTGTTTCAGAACAAAAAATGCCATGCATCTGGGCCATCCACATCCTGCCTTCATCCTCCTACACAGCCTTTTGGACAGTTTTGGCAGCCAGTACAAGGAAAGTGTCTCAAGCCTCCCTCTTCCCACCCCTACTCTTACTAATGTGTTCCATACTCACAGTCTTTTGCACAGTCCCAGCTCTGCCACTGCTCCCAGCAGGGAGCTGTTGCTGGTCCTCAGCGCTGATTCTGGGCTCTAGTGACAAGACTGGCAGCTGCTTATGAAGGCTCCTTCCAGCCTTTCCACTTCTATTGGCAAAATGCTTCCCAAGTGCCTACATCTCTGGGCTACAAAGAAGGAAGCGTATTGCGAACGCAGCTCTCCTCTCCCTTGGCAGGCTCCAGAATGTGGCATGTTTCCATCTGCACAAGGCTGCAAGATGTTTGCAGAAAGGAGAACTAAGAGCCACGACCCCCCTACTCCTCGCTCCTTCCCAGACTGCAAAGCTTTCTTGAGTTCTTTAGAAATCACGAGTGAAGATGTTACTCAACAGCCCCAGATGAGGATTTCATTTCAACATGCCCTGCAAAACACACGCTTCAGCGCTCATCCATACTTTGCAATCCACATCTGCACACATCCCTCGCTGGCCCTTTGAGGTCTGGAAATGTTTTATCCCAAGCACTGAATCCATACAGTTTACAGAATAAAAACACACACTGTTTACAGCTATATTTTTTTTCAAAGTCAGATTATCCTGGGGCCCTGAAACTCTGGACACGTGGGGCAAAGGACCCAAGGAGTTGGAGTACCTGAAAAGAAGATGCTCAGATTTGCATCAGCCAAATGAAGCAATCTCCTGAGAGCTCAGGGGCTTTAAATAAAGGCGTAAGTTTAGTAAAAGCTCTGGAAAACATTAGGGTGCTCATGAAATAAATGCTTCTTTATGCTAAAAGAAAAGCCCCTTCTTCAATAAACACAGTGCAACTTAATGTAAAAATTACAGCATATGTTAATGACAGTGATCAGAATATAATACTAACAGCAATAATAGTGCACCAGCACAGGCTCACCCTAAAAGAAAGGTTTCTCCCTACTCCCCATCAGAGAAGTCATGACAAGTAGCTGTTATGACTTCATTTCATTTTTTATTAGTTTTTACAAGCTAGCTATACTAAAAGGTTGCACCAGTAATTTAAACTGCAGTTGTCAGCAGAAGTGAAGGACATTGTGGGATACATTTTATTCTCGCTCTTTTATTGCTTGGCTCCATGTAGTGATTCAAGCAGCTTAAGGATTGCAGAGGTACTGTCACAACAATATTGGGCCCTTAGCAAGCTGCCATTTAAAAAGAGACCAAAACCCCACAGCTTTTAAGGAAGTGGCTGGACCAGCAGAAGCTGCTCAAGAGTCAATAACTGCTGATTGCTACCCAATTGTTCCCTCATGGGGACATGCTCTTTCTGCAATGTTATCCTTAACTTGACAGAATGGGAGGTGGCCCTGTAATATGCGGTAAATGCTGATCTTGGCAGCTCTGCCGAAATACATGCACTTATACATACAGGCATCGTGACACCCCCCACCATCAGCGGGAGCCAGCAGCACTCTGCTATGACACAACATGCTACTCCACATCCCACAAGTTGAAATCAAGTGTGAGATGGGCTCTCCATGGGATGGAATCAGGATGGACAACATACACTGCAGGCATTAAAGGAGATCTTATTGCAATTTGCTTCTAAACAAGCTTCTCCTTTATCTTTATCCCTATGCACAAAAATTAGCTTCTCTAATGTGTGCTGTGATTGAAACATGGCTCTCCAAGGTGCTGCTGGCACCCACCAGAAGCAGACTGGGGTGGTCATCTCCTCCAGACCCAGTCCCAGGAGACAGAGAGAAGACACCAGGTACCCCTGGGGTGTTTGTTTCACCATGCTCAGTGCTGCCCCATCAATCAAGGGCAGGTAATGCCACTTCCCTGTTGTGCCAGCTGCTGAAGGGGACAAGCAGAGGACAGGAGCACAAGGTGGCTGGCACAGATACAAACCAGGAAATCCTCAAACAGTACTGGCAAAAGGAGAACTGTTTTTGTTTTGAAGATTCCTGAGACAGGAGGCATTTGCTTTCTGTCCAAGCACCACCCCAGGGTTCTGCTGGACTCTTCTCCACAGATGATCAAAAAGCAATTTAATTTGCATCAGCTCTTCCTTGAACTTGCACACACAGACCAACCCAACTGCTCCTCCTCAAAAGACCAAGCTGGTAAGAGATGCTGTTCTTCAGCCTCATCCAGCTAGCCCCAAACACCATGGGGCTAGAGGGCAGAAAAGATCCCATTGCTGAGATGGCTGCTGGCTGCTTGCCTGACAGAGGACTTGCTTCCAGATCACATTATGAAAACTAACCCGGAAAAAAAAAAACATCAGGGGGCATTCTTGGTCAAAGCAGTGCATTACCTTGGGCACCAGACAAATTAAGTACTGCTTCCCCATTATTCTCCAGGGTGTCAAGCTTTCCTGAAGTCCCTAGGTGCTACCCACACACCAGCAAATCATGAAACATGTGGGCCACCTTACCCCAGGTGTTTGCAGCACGGGCTTCAATGCTGACAAAGCTCCACTGCAAGAGCATGTAGGGCTGTGCTTTCATCTGCACTGTGGATCCTGATTCAGCAGAGTTAAAATGCAGCCGAACCAGGGTCACTTTGTGCTTGAGGCAGGGGCAGCCTTGCTGCCTGTAGATCTTGATGCACTAATGAGTTGCAGCAAGAACCTCACCTACCTTGCCCGAGGCATAAGGCAGCGTTATTTGATGCCTCAAAAGTACCTCTACTACTGCCTCTGCAACAAAGAGGAGGAACTGATGTTTTAAAGATAATTTGGTTTACCTGCAGAGACAAAAGCTTTAGAACAGCATTAGCAACCACAAATTACTCCTGCAAGTCCTCAGCAAGTCACCACTGTCACTTCAGAGATAAAAACTGCTAAATATCATGATCCTAAACCCAGTCGAGGTGACAGAACCACCAAGCAGCTGGGTTGGAAGGAGCATCTGAAGATTATCTAGTCCTGCCACAGGCAAGACCACCCTTCACCAGACCAGATTGCTCCAAGCCCTTTCCAGCCCGGCCTTGAACACTGCCAGGGATGGGGCAGACACAGCTTCTCTGGGCAACCTTCTCTGGGCCTCAGCACTGCCATTGTAAAAAGAAAGTCTTATGTCCAATTTAAACCTACCCATTTTCACGTCAAAACCACTGGCCCTTGGCTCTGTCCCTACAGGCCTTGCTAAGAAGTCCTTTTCTTTCTTATAAGCCCTTTTCATTATTTTGAAAGGCTGCAAGAATATTTCCCCAGA